GGATATTTCAACACGTTCCTTCACGTGGGACCTAACACAACCCATCACGTGGCAATACGGGCATGCCCCCTCACGTGGGACCCAACCCAACCCTTTAATTTTTTTGGGCCCACTCCATGACTCGCATACCATGTAGAATTATCAGAGAGACGGGCTAAAGACCCAACCCAACCCATTATGTGGCAGTATAAGCCCGTTCCTAGACTAATAGCATATAAAATTATCACAAAGATGGGTCGAAGAGCCACTTCTAACAACACCGATATTATCCCTAACTTGAGATATAGTCGATATGGGATATTTCAACACGCGTCCTCATGTAGGACCCAACCCATCACGTGGCAATACAGGCACGCCCCTCACGTGGGACCCAACCCAAACCTTCACATGGCAGTTCGGCCCGCTCCCTAGCTCTGATACCATGTAGAAGTATCAGAGACTTAACCTTACCCATCACTTGGCAGTACGGGCCCGCTCTTTTACTCTAATAGCATATAGAATTATTAGAGAGACCGATCGAAAACCCACTTCTAACAACACCGATAATATCCTCAACTTGAGATATAGTCAATATGGGATATTTCAACATGTGCCCTCACGTGGGATCCAACCCAACCCATCACATGGCAATACAGGCATGCCCCATCACATGAGACCCTACTCAACCCTTTCACGTGGCAGTTCAGGCCTGCTTCCAGCTCTGATATTATGTAGAATTATCAGAGAGACGGGCCGAAGACTCAACTAACCCATCATGTGGCAGTACATGCTAGCTCTAATAACGTACATAATTATCAAAAAGACAAGCTGAAAACCCATTTCCAACAACATCGATATTATCCCCAACTTATAAACTACCACTTGCACAATCTGGTAGGTGTCGGGCCAAAGACCCACTTCCAACAACACCTGCACAGTCCGACAAGTGTGCACAGTTTGGCAAGTGTGAGGTTTTATCTCCTGCGCAGTCCGGCAGGTGTGGAGTTTTATCTCAAAATGCCTCAGTATTAGTTTGAGCGAAATTAAGATATTTAAACTCTTCTTTTCTCAGAGATATGGTAACTATAGGATATTTCAACAATTTTATCTGGACACCAACTCGCACTAAGAATGTTTGTTTAGGGAAACGACAATGACTTGCACTAAGCATGTTTGTAAGGGAAAACAACAATAGATTTTAGTTATAGCTTTCATGTTTATATTTTGCCTCCACTGCTGATTTAAGGTCCTGGCTGCACCCTACAACCCTAATGATAATAAGACTTGATTTGGTGCAACCATTACACTGGAAATTCGTCACACAAAATCAAATTAATGGGTCATACGTGGGAGATCTGCACATCGACAACCACGTGGAGTTAAGGGAATTTACACTACATGCGGGTCCAAGGAGACACATCCATCACATAACAGTACGAGCCCGCTCCTGGCTCTTGTACTATGTAGAATTATCAGAGAGACAAACCGAAAACCCACTACCACTTGCACAATCCGTCAGGTGTGGGGGTTTTATCACAAAAAGTCTTGGTATTAGTAATAGTAGGGTTATGATATTTAAACTCTTCTTTTCTCAGAGAAATGGTCAATATGGGATATTTCAACATGTGTTCTCATGTGGAATCCAACCCAACCCATCATGTGGCAATACAGGCCTGCTCTCTAACTCTGATAATTTCAAAACGCCCCATCATGTGGGACCTAACCTAACCCATCACGTGGCAGTTCGAGCTATCTCCCTGTCTCTAATACTATGTAGAATTATCAGAGAGACGGACCGAAGACCCAACCCAACCCATCACGTGGCAGTACAAGCCCACTCCGTAGCTCTGATACCATGAAGAATTATCAGAGAGACGAGTCTAAGACCCACTTCCAACAACACCGATAGTGTTCCCAACTTGTTAACTAACGCCTGCACAGTCCGACAAGTGTGGGGTTGTACCTTAAAAGACCTTGGTATTAGTTGGAGTGTAGTTAAGATATTTAAACTTTTCTTTTCTCAAAGATACGGTAAATGTGAGATATTTTGACACGTCACGATCTCGATATTCCCCGAACACCAAGATAGGCACATGCTGGCCAACACCCAAGGATGACAAAAACCATTTAGAATGCATGAGAACAAGAATGAATAAGACTTGTGAATTTAAAAATAATGAATATGCAAGTGAGAAACGTGTTAAGAGCATACAACTAACTAGAACACTAAAAAAAAGAATATAAAATTGAATGAAACAAAGGATGGGTCCTACACCGAAAGGACTCGAAGATGCCAATGCGGAAGTGCCTTGATGCCAGGATTGTACGCCTCGATTTTAAGTCCTGAGGGGGCGCAAAACAAACATGAGTGGACCAAATTGATATATATATATATATATATAATAAAATAGTTATCAACATACTAACCCCCAAAGTTTAATGAAAACTCATATAGCATGATAAATAAAATAGGCTTTCCGAAACCTAGCATGTCGCGCAATGTCTCAAAACATTTCTCGTACATATATAGTGTGAATGTCTAATCTCACTCCAGGCCCCGTGCCAACTCCCCGTCCCTGTGCCAATTGTCAGAGAAAAATCACATTCAGGCCCCGTGCCAGCTTCTCGTGTCTCTCAGCCCGTAGCTAGAGATTATTTCTTCAGGCCTATGCCAACACCGTAACCTCGCCCGTGACGGAATTTATCCCTTGCCCCGTAACGGAATAGGGACCATTAGGTAAGTACAAAACCATTGAACATACATATATTTGAAAAGCAACTTCATAGTATAAAGTTATCCATCATCTATACTATAAAGAGATGTTCGAAACATGTTCTAAATATGATATCGTCATCCATCAGATATTATATAAAGAACACATGTTGTAGGAAAAATAGTAATAATTCAAACTAGCCTCAATAAGCATGTTATCTCATAAAACGTAATCATTAAATCATGTTTTTTCATGTATGGATTTCTACTATTAAAACATGCATTTTAGAATGGGCCACTCACAGATACTTCACCGTAGAGAGCCACGCAAACTAGCGAAAACAGAAACACCATAATATATGCACCTAAGCACATAAAGGGTCTAATTAATAAAACTATATTAAAATGATTTAATTTGGAGAAATGGATGTTGAAAACGAATTTAGGACGTCGAAATTAATCTAGGAAGGGTTCCGTTTTAAGGGTTTTGGACTTGGGTTAGGGTTAAGTCTAGGTAGGTTGGACTTAGGATAAAGGGTTAATGGGTTAGGGAATTGGGTTGATAAAAGGGCCTGGGGTAAATAATTGGGTTTGGGCTTAAAAGGGTCACGGGTTGGTCTGGAGGCCCATGGGTTTTGGGCTGGTTTCAAAGGACTTAGGTCAGGTTGACCCGTTTTCAGGCCAATGAATCGGCCGGTTTCTGGGCACCACTTCAAACGCCCATAACTTATTTGTTACTCAACGAAATCAAGTGAAATGAAAATGACAGTTGTAGTACTCGACGAGATGAAGAGATTGATATCCTGTACGCCGACCAAATCATGGTATTTTTTCCGGAAAACGCCTCGAAAGAGGCGGTGCTCATTGGAAAAACTGGATTTTGGCCGAATGTTTTAGAAATTTCAAAGCTTCGTAACTTCTTCGTTACTTAACCAAAATGAGTGATTCAAAAGCCAAAATGTAGTCAGGAATGTGGAGAAGATATTCATACCAAGTGAGGACCGAGTAGTTGCCGGAGTTGGCAAGATAGCCAAACGACCACGGTTTTGAAGTTTACAGATTTCTGGAAAATGCCATTCGAGTTGTTTTTCATGCTAAAACCTTCACCAAAGCCATTTTAATCACTAACCAAGTAATGTAGACAACGAGGAAGGAAGATCAAAGGAGTCTCAAAACTTACCTACGTCGTCAAATTCCTCTAAAGTCACTGGAGTTCAGTCGGGAAAGCTTGCACCATGGCTGCCACGGTGGAGGGTCGTGCTTGGCCTGAGGTTCTTGAGGTCTCAAGCCCAGGTGATGGTGGTGATGGTTGCTCTGTGTGTGTGTGTATGTCTCGGGGAAGAGGGAAGGAGAGAGTTGCAGAGAGTTTCGGGGAGAGAGAGTTAGGGAAATGAGAGAAAAGGAGAGGATGAAGAGAGATTGGGACCGGGGGGACACGGATCAGGATCCTCTTTTGAGCAAAGAGTGACGATCCTCTTGATCAAGCTCATTGGGCCGTTAAAATTTTATCCAACGGCTACAATAATTATAACTTTAGAAGGTCCTCTATTTGTAACCATTAGATGCAATTTCAACGAATCGATGGGCTTGGTCAGGAGGATTCTCACCTTTTGCTCAGGAGAGGATCTTGATCCGGAGGACACAAATGAGGAGGTGGGCCCAAAGGCTCACCAATTAAGGGAGGCAGATTGTCTACCCTTTTGTTTGGGTGCCTTTCTTATCCCCTCCTATTTTGTGCGGTCATGGTTAAGGCGCGTCAACATTTTATATTGAATTTTTTTTATAGAAATAATAAGACAAAAAGCAATAGAAATATAAAATATTAACGTAGCTTAACCGTGATCGTACAAATAGGAGGAGATGGGAATAGCACCCAAACAAGAGGGCAGACAATCTGCCTCCTCAATTAAGACCCAAAAACCATTTTTTTTAAATAAAACGGTGGGGGTTTTACATATGTCAACAGTTTTATCCGGAAAACGACTCGCACTAAGAATGTTTGTTTAGGGAAACGGCAATGACTCGCACTAAGCATGTTTGTTAAGGGAAACAACAAAAGATTTTAGCTATAGCCTTCATGTTTATACTTTGCCTCCACTGCTGATTTAAAGTCCTAGCTGCACCTACAATCCTAATGATAGTGAGACTTGATTTGGTGCAGCTACTACATTGAAAATTCGTCACATAAAATCAAATATGATGAATCTTTGTATTCATGGCCAAATCACTATCGCCACATAAACCTTGTTTTCTTGTGGTGAATATCTAATTTACAACACATGATTGCTTACAAATAAAACACACCACAGAAATATTAGTTCATACATTACCATTTGAAAGCTCAATGAAATATACATTAATACAATACAAGCAAAGATCATCACACGATTTGTGAGATATAATTAATTCAGATGAAATAGTAACGATAGTGGTTGTATAGATGGATGATCTACCGTAAACTTTACTAGACTGCTACCCTTAGAAACCACACGCATTACTATTTTACCACAGCGAAGAAATGATTTTTCTTCAAAAAGAAAGCTCGCTCACGCGTGTGCCATTTGGCCTTTTTGTTTGTTTTCCAATAATAAATCAATTAAAGGTGTCTAAAAGATCGCCAATTACATGGTCTGCGATTATCTTATTTGTTTTCTCCGTTGGATGGAAGGCATCCCAAAATACGAACTTACTTGCATCTGCGCACGTATATGGGTTGTTCTGATTACAGAGGTAACTCATCTCGAATGTCCCAGTAGCACAACATGCCTTGTCAGCATACTCAAATCCTTCCAATCAAACAACAAACAATATATCATAATTAAATTATTAATTAATTTAATTTAGAACTAATAGGAAATGTTTTATCAAAAAGGGAAGTTAAAAATTTCAGAAAAATCAGACCCTGCTATCTGCAACAAACACAGAAGCCATGTGTACCCAACTAGATTTGATTAATTGGTTGCATGCTTATTTAAAATCCCATATTAAAGTTTCCCACCAAACATTTTCAACTACTTTCATGTCTAGTTCACGCATACATGCTTTCACCAATAGCTCCCCTTTATTACCAGTTTCTGGTAATCTGGTTAGTATCAGGATTATTTATAATCCCATATATCACAGTTTAATCTGCTGTAATATATATTGAGTTTCAAATTTCAACAATAAATAAATAAAAATAAAATTGAGGATATCTTTAAATTTTTATAACCACATATCTACTGCTAGTAAGTTCTGGATGTTTTTTGCTGTTGGATGACTTCACACCTTCAAGTCAAGTGCTAATGTGAGACGCCTGTTTTATGCGACACATAGTTTTTCTTCTAAAAAGTTCAGGAGATATAAATACAAATGATAATGTGATGTGTCATGTATGTATCCACAAGTTCCAAACCAAAGATCTGATATTTCCACAGAGAAAGTGTGGCAACAAAGCTTCCAATGAGTGTGCCCTGATTGGAACTTTGCTAAAGTAGAAAGATGCTGTCATGACTTATGGTTAATACACAATTAAGGCAAGCCAAGATATTGCTAATGCATCATTGCAGTTCTATAAGCATCTATGTAGATCAATAGTTGATAAATACAAATATTTACTATAAAACTTACCATATGATGAAGGTGTTTTGATGATTTGGTAGAACAGCGGATATATTTTTTCTGTAAATAGCATTCTAAGCCCTGGAAGCTCTTGATTCAGCTTTGCCACCATATTTTTCAATTTCCCATTAAATTCCACAGCCACATTGTTATATTCCTGCATGCATTCATCAATTGCCATGAAATTGCTGGCTCTCTCTAATGGCAAACACCCCATCGGAGGAAGCCCGGTTAGGGATATTTTCCTGACCCCTAGACTGTAGATTTCCCTAATGAAGTTTTCGGAAAGTCCAACGAGGAAATCCTCGTACTGTCGGACTGTGAATTGCAATCGCCGGCGGGGCAATACGTAGTAGTTCTCGAGGAAGTCGTTTGTTCCTAAGCTTATCAAGTATAAGGCCTCTGTCAGAATCTCTTTTGCCTTGTCATGGCCAACATAGGCTTTGAGTTTGTTCTGGTACTCCTTGTAGTACTCCACTTCTTTCCACAGTGGTATCACATTCTGCATATATAGCATGCTTAGTTTTTTTATCGTGTATTTTCTTTACCCACATATGTTGCTTCAAATTTTGAAGCGTCAATCAGGTAAAACTTGTACAGATTATTGAAAGTTGGTAACAGAACGCACTGTGTTATTTATATTGTATGAATCATGAATTTAGGATTTCAAAGAAATTTGATTGATAGTCTGATAATATAACGTACTACATTTTGAGCAAAATATAAGAATAAATGGGCATTATATGTGCATACATGCAGGATTATGACTAGACAAATCCAAATTATGATACAGTTAGAGAGGGGACTTACTAGCACATCAGAAGTTGCATTATCATAGCCAGGTTCCAGCAGAAGCAAAGCAAACACCATTGACAAAATCTGAAATCCCAAACTTGGGGTCCAAGTATGCAGGGACCGAAGTTTTGAGCCCGAAAGCCTCGGAAACAAAATCCGGTGGAACTCGGCCATTGGAGAACCTCCCTGTCGGCTGACCACCGTCAAAGTCACGGCCATACGGCTTGAAGTTGCTCTTCAGAAGTGTGGAAATCCCATTGTTGTTCCCAGAATCCACAGATGAGTCCCCAAACACAATAACTGCTGGAACTTTAGCCTCATGTTTTGCAACTTGAAGCAGGATTTGAGTTAAAAGAAACCATGAAATGTATACGAATGCCATGGCTAGCTAGCTACTTTTTGTGTCAGTGGCTAGTGGCTGGCAAAAGTTGGAAGATATTTGAGATGGATTTAGAGATGGGATTGTAATAAATATAATCATGTGAGAAATTGGAGGGATTTGTGGAAGCAATCAAAACCTAGAAGCAAGCAAGCTGCAAGGCCATGAGTCTGCAGGACAGTATTCAATTATGTCAGTTATGTTTGGTTAACCTTGGTGGTTTAAGATTTCAGACAATTACCCATCCCAGAAGGCTCCAAGAGGGCACTATTTATAGGTTGATGTGGAGAGATTTTTCAGTGTAACCGTCACACAAGGTGGTACACCACGTGATCTTATATAAATGGTGGGTTATGCGTGTTAAAAGGTTAATAACTTAAATTAAAAATTTTCACCACTTACATAAAAACACTTGATGTACCATTCATGTTCCTGTCATAACTAAAAATTTCTCGTTGACGTGGAGCAGCAACACACTTGCACGGTCTCCTATTCCTATATGTTAAGAACAATCTAGATTTAGGCGATGGTAATTATAATCGGTTTTAAACAATGTTTTGGATTCAGTAAACACGTTAATAAATTCAGCGCTTTGTACCAATCAAGGCTTTTTTTTTTTTTTTTTTTTTTTTTTAGGGGGGCAACAATTTTGTAGTATAAAAGTTAAACTGTCATGTGGTATTACTAATAATTTATAGCTTACAATTTCAAAGAATGTCAAAGTCGATATATAAAAGCAATCTATAGTATAAAAATGAATACACGAATTAATAACAAGAGATGTGGTCCTTATGGTTAGGAAGGTAACTGAATATAAATTCCCAACTAATTTTGAGTTCATTTTTGCTCACCATCCTATTTATCACCATTAGATGAGTTTGAATTTTGAGATTTGTACTTATCCACTACACGAATCTCGAAATTCAAACTCATCTAACGGTGATAAATAGGATAGTGAGCATACACCACACTAAATGATGATGACCATACACCGCATTAAATAGTGATGCGTAAAAATGCTCCCATTACGAGTTTTTAAGAAATAGAGGTGGTGGTTGTAATACATTTAATGGGGGCTGAGAAAGTGACAGGTCCTAGTTAAGTGACCTGTAACATTGTTCTGAAACCCTAAAACAAAGCTGGCTTTCTTTTGATGCTCATTTATGGACGTTTTCTGCTATGAATTGGTGCTACAATTTACAAGGATTCAGTAAATCGTAAACCAGTTTTCTATAGTTTCTGAGTTTCTTTTTGTTTGGATGGGATTGATCAAGTTTGAACACATGTTGCGGGTGAGACTTTGTCAGAGGTGAAAAAATGGTTGGGAGTTTGATTCGATTTGCATTTTACTGAAAAAAACTGGAAGCACTCTTTACATGAAAATGTTACATGCGCGGGGGTGATGAAAATTGACACAATGAACTGTGAGAAATTTGCTTGTTCTTAGAAAATATATGAACATAAATGACTCTTCATTTTTTATATCTGTGATCGGGATACTCCAATCATACATGATTAACAAATATATGAATCAAATTTGTTACATGAATAACAAATATATTTTTTATATCTGCTTTTGTTGTTGTACTTTGACTTGGATTAGGCAGTTTGAAGCTTTCTATTTTTGTCATGTCCACGGATTTTAGATGAGCAATTTTTAGTCTCTTTTGAGATTCCCTTTAAGTTATGTAATGTTCCTTCTATTGTTCCCATTCTTTGGCATCCTCCTTCATATAATTGGGTTAATGTGAATATAGATGGGCTTGCTAAGGGTAACCTGAGTCCCGTGGCTTGTGGTGAAGTATTTCGTGATTCTACGGGTTATTTTCCTAGTGGTTTCTCTCAGAGTTTGGGGTAACATACCTTCCTTCTATGTTGAGCTTCATGCTATCATCCTTGCTGTGGAGTTGGCCTATGCGTGGAGTTAGGCGAAATTTGTGGCTCAAAAGCAACTCTTCCAGGGTGATATCCTGACTTTTTTTTGTTCTCCTCGGCATCTTCGGGGTTCATTGGAAAATCTGCCTTTCCCTTGTGAAGCATATGGTTTTTTATTGCTCTCATATTTTTCCAGAAAGGAATAAGGTCGTTGATGAATTGGCAAATTTAGGGCTGCTTTAGTCTTCCATTTGTGGCATGCGATTCCATCATTGGAGACTCCCCCTTTTCTGCACACGAATTTTTTGGGCATCCCAATCTATACAGATTTGTCTCCTCTTCTTGATGATTTTTTTTTTTTTTTTTTTATTTTTGCCTAATCTTCTTGATTGTTTGTTTTGCAGGTTATTATATCGTTTAGGTTTTGTTTTAGAGGAGTTAGATTCTATGTCTCCCATTTTCCTTATATCTTTCTTGTTTTCATTTCTAAAGAGATAAAAATTTTGTCCCCCTTCTTTTTCATGTATTTTTTATATTTTATATTTTTGTTTTAGGAGAAGTAAAATTTATGTCTTCCTGACTAGGTATAACATTTTTTTTTCGTTATCAATAAAAAATTTCTTGCACTGTCGAAGTTTCTTAAAAAAAAAAAAATTAACATCTCTTTTTTTTTTTTTTTTAATATATATATATATTGTTTTATACAAGCGATATTGAGAGAGAAATCGAACACAAATCTCGTGGGTAGTGGTATAAACTTTGTTAGTTACAGAATCAAACCTCTTGTACATAAATCAATAATTAAATTCTTAGTTAATCCAATACTCAAGGGTATATTTGTTGTTACATCGGAGTAGTAAGACTAATTACAAAACCCTTTCTGTGAAAGCATCAATTATATATTTTCTATACCAAGCAGAAATCGGAATAGCGATGGTGTAAGACACAGACACATAGTTAGTTGATCATTAACCTCCAAATGTTGGAAAACATGATTTAGGTTTTGTAATGAATGTTTGCATATAAATGGAATGGAGCAAATGCTGAACAGACGTCGGCAGCTCTTGTAAGTTGTGATCCCCTGCGCAACTGCGCATCTGTAGACAACTTTTGGCATGCCATGCGCGCATCAGTCGGTAGGCATGGGCAGAACTCGACAGCGCGAACAATGTGCTCGGAAAAATGCCACAATGAATTTATACTAAGTTGATCTATGTTCTTGATTCAAGCCGTGGCATCACGTTGTGTTGCACCGTTAACTTCACGCTACTCACTTAAATTACCACTTCCATTCTTGGATCCACTATTGGTGGCCCGTGGGTCACAAGTTATTGGTGGCTTAGAGTTGCAGCCATCCGCGAAAAAATTCAAGGTTACGTCATTAGTGGTGGATCCAAAAAAATATTATTTGGGAGATGGTTAGCAAGAATAGCACGATTAGGGTGCAAAACTTTGTGAACGAAATAGAGTGCAAATTGGCATTTCATCGATCTTTGGTAGATATGAGGTTATTTGCCAAGTGATATTGCACACTTATCGATAAATGCCAACAACTTACGAGACAAATGTTAATAACTTTTGAGCGAGCATGCCGAGTGAGCCTATCGGCAGATGCCCATACCAACACATACAATGGCATGAGGCTAGCAACTTCCTGCTTAGTGCCCATACAGACAATTCGTCAATTAGTTGGAGGACAGCTTTTAAGGGCATCTTAAATTTTAGAAGGGTAACACCCAACTCTTCCATGGAAGGTTTCTAATCTTAGGAACCTTATCCCAAGGTGGGTCCGCCCCTGCTCCGTCTCTAGTTGTGTAATGAGTCGAAAATAATGTGTGGCACGATGTATATTAGTGTTTGAAAAAAAAAAAAAAAAAAAAAAAAAAGGGAAAAGAGTGATGTATATCAATACTTGATCATATGTTACACCTCCGGTATATCATTGGTTGCGTGATAGGGTTATAGACCGCGCAACTGGATCGGGAATTAACAACGTATCATTGTCACATAATGAATGTTGTAGTTGTAGATAAACATCTATAAATTCCAATGCATCTATAATTTTCGCTTAATTATTGAGTGATGTTAGATATATAACATTGAACAACTTTCTCCACAGAGATAGGTTCTTTAATAAAAGTAGGCCTCATCTTTATTAAATAAATAGTATGTCTTTTTAAATGTGATGTCCTTAACATTTTTCAGACCAAAAACAGAATTAGAAAACTAGGGAATGAAAATCTCATTGAAATAAAATCAAAGTGTTTAGGGAGCACAACGCTCCCCAACCCGCTACTGTTAACAATTGGATGCATACAGATAAGTGGCGGATGCATATTGGAACCAAACTGGTCTCGACATCACATGGAGTCTAAAAAATATGCATGTGAAGGTCTTTTGATGACTCTTGAATGTTTGGTACACATCCTTTCTGTGCCCACCAATTCTCTCAATAACACTCATCAGATTACTCCGACCTATGTCAATACATGTTGACATGTGCACAACTTGGTTCGGCTAACTACAACAAGCCCACAAAGTGTTCAACAAAATGCCTCAGTGAATTTTTTTTATGCGCCTTAGTGCTCTGTTTTTTATCTAAAAAGCTTAAACCTTTAAAATAGAGACCCTCAAAGTTTAAATCTTGAATCATACAAATTAAAGGTTATTTTTAGGTTAAAACAGAGACCCTAAACCCCAATTGAAATTTTCACGAAATCAAGTGAAAAATTACCTAAAAATTGAAGCAGTGTGTTCTGAAGAAACCCTACTGCTTTTTCCTCCACTGCTTTTAATGTTTCGAATTGCTATGTATTAATGAACACTTTACTGGGTATTTTTTTTCATTGAATGTTGTTATTAGATTCTCTGTGTTCTGCTTATTTCTTGAAGATAAAGCAATTATTTTTCTTCAGTTCTAATGGCTGCTTTCATTTACTCACATTTTAATTCTTGGGCTTTATCAAGTTTGTTGGTTTGTAATGTTAAATGTGTATTTTGATCTCGTATGAATTGTCCGTCTTAATCCTTCAAGTTAGAAGACAATATCTGTATTCTTCCTTGATTGCGTATGAAATCTAGTCATTTAGCTAGTCTAGTCTAGTCCTGCATATCGAATGCTGTAAAAAAGTACTTAAAAAACAACTGATCTTATTTAGACGAAGAGGTTTTTCTTCAATAGTACATACAAACTGCTTATCGTGCTCACTTCAACAAGCGACTCTACGAGTCTGTGAGCCTCTAATTATAGAAGCAAATGCGCTCTCAACGCGTACAAAGAGATGTACAATGTTCCCCTTCAGGTGCATCCTCGTGAATATTCGTTTCACGGTTGTTGATTTTGGCTTGAAATGCACTTTGATCGTCAGAGCATGACCACAAGCCTGAACTGCAAGTAGTCTTCAGGTGATTAACACCTTCTAATGGACACTGTACAAGGCGCTGGAGGAACTGTGGGATTGGGGGTATGTTGACATCTGAAACTCCCTCGAGAATTTGAACAACCTGCCTCATCGTTGGCCTATCCTTCTCATCTTCTTGAATGCACCAACAAGCGACTTTACATGCTTGAGCGAGTTCATCTTTGTCAGCACGGCCTTCCAACCTGTAATCCAACAAAGTACCAACATCTTCTCCCTTATTAACTACATTGGCAACCATGAGAGGACGGTAGTTTTCTAACCCCTCATCTAACCCTTCTCTATTTCTCCTTCCTGTTATAACCTCAATCAGCAACATGCCATAGCTAAAGACATCAGCTTTTGGTGTGATGGCTTCACCTGAAAACCATTCTGGTGCAAGATAACCTACAGTTCCTCTCATGGTTGTCAGAACGCGGCTATGGTGTCTTCCGACAAGTTTTGCAAGACCAAAATCAGCCAGTTTTGGACTGTATTCTGCATCCAACAAAATGTTGTCGGGCTTAATATCACAGTGTATTATGCAGTCTCGGCACTCCTCATGTAGGTAAGCCAATCCTCTGGCAGTCCCTACTGCAATATGATATCTGGCATCCCAATCTAACATTAGTGCATTCTCTTGATGAAAAAGAGATTGCAGAGAACCATTTGGCATGTACTCATAGACCAAAAGTCGTTTTGAAGTTTCTGTGCAAAAACCCCAAAGGCGAACAACATTAATGTGGTGGATAGCGCCAATGGTTCCCACTTCAGCACGAAATTGTTTCTCTCCCTGCTCCAGATATTTAAGTTTTTTCACTGCTATATCAGTTGAATTAGGCAATATCCCCTTGAAAACAGAACCAAAACCTCCTTCCCCAAGTTTTTCTGAGAAGTTATCTGTTGCTCTTCTTAAATCTTTATACTTGAACAGCACCAAGGAATCCTGAACTATTGGCGATGCTCCTTTTGACCGCTTCCTTATGAGAAATACCATGAGAATGGTTGAGATTGAAAGGAACCCCGCAAGTACTCCAACAGCAATCCAAGTAATCTTTCTCTTTACCTCGTTGGTAGAATCTGCAACTCGTAAATGCATTTTTCTGTAATCTATTAGTTTAGTCAGAGAAGATGGTAGTTGAATCAGATTGAATATATCCCCTTTCCAAATCTTACAGTCGTTATCGTAAAGAAAGGCGGTGATTGAGCAATCTCTTGAGCATGCTAATATACATTCCTCAATGCTTTTAACCTTTAAAGACTCAGCATGTTGCGAATAATAAACATCAGGCACTCCAAAAATTTGTAAGTTCCTACATCACTGCACTGAAAAGGAGTTTTCCTCACACAACCATAAGAATAACCTCCAAAATCCCAATCTTCTGGGATTTGGGGTTCAAATCCGTCCAAGCATCGACAACGAGGCAAATTCTGAGAGTCGCAGATACTAAAAGCACCACATGAAGCATCGTCAGTACATTGTCCAAGCTGAACACCCCAAGACTCTTTTGTCTCAACTCCGTCATAAAACTTGAGTCGACCATTGATCAAAAGTTTGTATCTCATAAATGAATGAGGATTCGTGGTAACATAAGTTACGTAGCTTCCATTCTCATTTGCAACAGAAGTAAAATTTACTAGAGGAATATCGATATCATTCTTCTCATCATAATTGTCGGTGAATAATGTAAGAAGTGGTTCCAACATTCTGCTCACTAGTGACGGAACCGTTTCGAAATAAGGAAAAACTTGTTCCAGTTAGTTCCATCTCAAGAGAAAATATTCCAGGGGCTGGATTTTGTGGGTTTCTCGAGGGAGTAAGAACTAGTTTTTCCTTCGTAAGCTTATTGTATCCAAGCTTGGCACCCGGAAGCCAAGTGTCAGTTGGGTGATCGAAACTCTGCCATAAAACAGCGGATGAATCCAATTCATCTCTGATGACAAGGTTCCCGTTGTCAAGAAGCACTGCCATGGTGGAATCAGAAACCGCTGACATAGATTGAGTTGACCAAATTGTAGATTTCGTTTGCTCCAGCAACGCTAAGCTTCCATTTCGGAAGAGTTGCAGTGTCAAAGGAGATGAACCAGAGGCAGGTTGGTTTCGGTTTGCTACCCAAACTACAGTTCGAGGGCGGAGAGTTTTGTACCAAATGCCTACGTAATAGTTTCGAGAGTTACCTGCTGTGAAGAAACCCAGCTCAAATATGCCACCTGCGGAGGTGATTGTCTGGGTCCCCGAAAGAGTGCGGCCTGCATAGATGGTGTCAGATGCCATGGAAGTTCCATTGAAGGTAAAACATAACAGAAGCAGAACAACAGACTGAGAAATGAGGTTATTGTTGCTAATGATCTCCATCTCTTCGAAGAGTTGGATTTTCTGCAAGCTGATGCCAAACTTAACTTTGCCTCTCCTGTTTTTGTTGCTATGAGCGGAGCTTAACCAGAATTATTGTAGATTATACCAGTATGAATTTTTTGACTAGTTGGAAGTTGCCAAGTCCACCAAGTCAACCAGCGCACCAGACAAAGATGATATGAATTTTTTGACTAGTTGGAACTTTTGCTGAGACTCTTCAATTTCTTTTTTGCAAGGTTGACAAAGATGCGGGTGCGCGGATTAGGTAGATTTAAATAAATCTATTATATTTCATGTAAATAAGTATATTTTTATACTTAAAATATATATAATTACATCATAAACCATAAAATAGAAGGACATATATATTATGAAGTATTGGAACATCATGAAAACATAGGGAATAAGCATATAATGTTTGTTTATTTAAGTATTCAACAAGTTTCTTACAATTTATTGAAAAAAATAAAATGTAAAATGAAAGTTATCTATTTTTTGTCTAAGTGAGTCGCAACCTAGGCGGACACCTCAATAGGTCTAAGCGCTATTTCTTAATTTTCAAATGTCTAGGCATCAATCGAGACGGTGGCCAACCGCCTAGCGTCCAAACGGGAATTTTTAGAACAGTGTTTTTTGCTCTTCTTAGCCTATTGGGCCACTCTGGTGTGTATATATGGGCCCTTTAGGAGAAAGAAATCAATATATGGGCCTTGCACAAATTTAGCTAAGATCTGTACACCCAAAAATTGCAGCAGTTTTCTGAAGAAACCCTTTTGCTTTGTTCCTACTGCTTTGCCTCGGCTGCTCAACTGTAAGTTCTTCCTTTCCAACTGTTTTTCTCATTTATTGTTTCAATATTTCAAATTGCTCTGTGTTTAAATTCATAACCAACACTTTACTGGGCATTTTCCTTTTCTTTTTTCCATTGAATGTCGTAGAAAAGCAATTATTTTCTTCAATTCTAATGGCTGCTTTCACTTACATGGGATCTTAAATTCGATACGTTTCATTTTCACACTCACTTTTTATCTTGGGGTTTATTGTGTATGTTAATTTATGAGATAGCTCTAATTTGTTCATTGCCCAAGATTTTTAAAATACTTATTTTCTTGTGTACATAAACCAGAATGCTCAGGAGATCTTCAGGAATGTGGTTCAGAAAATTATGGAATGTGAATGGTGAGAATTTTGTGGGGTTTTCAAGGCTAATCAGAAGAAATGCATCAGGTTCAAGCAGAAGTGTGATAGACATGGCTGTTAGAGATGGGGAGCTGAGGGTTTTCGTAGTCTCTGGAGAGGTTTCTGGGGACACCATTGGCTCTCGTCTCATGGCATCTCTGAAGAATCTCTGTCCTGTTCCTGTCCGCTTTTCCGGTGTTGGAGGGTAATCTATTACTTTCCCTGCGGTTTTATTGGAAACTGTAATTCTTTGCAGAAGTACTTTTACATAGGTTTATGTTAGCAGCCTCTGTCTGTGCATTTAAGTAATTGGGTTGTCTTGCTTTTCTTAAGAGAATACAATCTTCACATGGATAACATTTTAGACGCTTTGGACAAAACTGTGGTTTTTGAAGTTTTGTTGTTTGAATGACATTGGTTAAACAGGAGGGTGTTTGTTTTGTGTCTATAATGTGTTTAGGTTGATGATGTCCAAGCAAGGATTAAAGTCGCTGTTTCCAATGGAGGATATTGCAGTGATGGGATTATTGGAGTTATTGCCTCATCTGAATAGGATCAGAGTGAGTATGAGCTGCAGTAAGACTTTACTGAACAAATTTGACGACAAATAGTGTTTCATCTTTTAGTACAAGGGCAAAAAAGTTTTTACATTCTGGCATCTTATTTGGTTATTGTATTGTGCCAGGTGAAGCTGCTGGAGACAGTAGAGGCTGTTCTTCTGTTTCAACCTCATGTTGTTGTGACAGTGGATTCAAAGGGTTTCTCTTTCCGCCTCTTAAAACAGTTACGGGGTAATATGCACCACCTTCTTGGTGTTATAATCAGACTTTAGTGATACATATGGTGTTGGAAAATAGGGACATGCTTTTTGCAGCTAGATACAATCAGCAACGATTCGATGCTCCAGTACACTTCCACTATGTAGCACCGTCATTCTGGGCTTGGAAAGGGGGTGAAGCAAGACTCCGAGGCCTGGCTGGATTTGTGGATCATGTCTTGTGTATACTTCCAAATGAAGAAGAAGTTTGCAGATCAAATGGACTGGCTGCAACCTTTGTGGGCCACCCCATTTTGGAGGATGTTTTGGAGCTGAAATCAGTATGATTTTTTTGTTCTCCTTTTGGAATAGATGTACTTGATAGTTTTCATTACAGATCATACTTAAGATTTCATTGGATCATTAGCTTCACTGTTCGTTCTTTTAAACAGTAGAAAACAATACAAACATAGTTCAGAACCATTTGATGCTTTTAAAATCGACTTTTGTTTTAAGTGTCAAGTACTAATACACAATTTTGTTTCTAGAAGGACACTTCACCCCATGAATGGAAGATAGAAGGAAACTGTGAAGATTTCCGAAGGAGATATGCAATACCAGCAGGTGAAATTTAATCTTCATTTGTAATATTTATTTGATTATCCTTGGCAGTACCTAAGAATAATTCTGTTATAGTGGCCTAAGAATCAAGGTTCCACAATGAAACCGTTTCTGAAATCTTCTTGCTCCATCAATTGATTATTTCTTCCCCTTTCTTCTCCTTTTTTAAATAAATTTATTCCAAGCTCCATATCATTGCCAAGGAGCTCCTTTCTGTGTGTATAAACGTTTCTTTCTCTATCAAAATTGGAACGTTCATTAATATTCTGTGATTTTTATTTTGCAAAGGAGCCAAAGTCATTTCCTTGCTTCCTGGAAGCAGATTACAAGAGGTCACCAGAATGCTTTGTATCTTCGCAAACGCTATGGGATTATTAAAAGTGTCCTTTCCTGAGTTAGTAACAGTCATCCACGTCGCTCCAAATCAGCATGTGAAGAACTATGTTGCCGGAATCACTAACAAGTGGCCGGTGCCCGCTATATTGATTCCAGGAGGATCCCTGCACCAAAAATATGATGCATTCAGTGTGAGTGAAAAAAACCTAAAAGAGTACTATGGATGCTATAAATTATTTGCTTGTGTATCCTTTTACCTCCTACACAGTGAAATTTGTCTCCTCGTTTGATAGCGGTGATGCACTTAACATCACCATCTAACAGAGCATGAATCTGAAACCAAGTTTTTGGATGTTCATATCTGAGCATATTTGAATATGTCTGTTCTTGCTCAAACTTGTTACTTATATTAACTTGCAGGCAAGTAGTGTTGCATTGTGTGCTTCTGGAACAGTTGCCTTGGAGATGCAGCTTGCACGGCTACCATGTGTAGTCGCTTATCGAGCTCATTTCCTAACTGAGTGGATTATTCGTTATAAAGCCAAGATACCTTACATCTCCCTCCCAAATATTCTCATTGATTCACCTATTATACCCGAAGCTCTCTTTCAAGCGTGCACTCCGACAAACCTAGCGTCATTGATTTTGTAAGTTTCATTTAAGCATGATCTCTTCAATTTTTAGCATACTTACTGGCATACCGGATATTATAAGTATAAAGCCTGATATTTCCCTAGTTCGCACGTAAACCAAGTATATCTGATCCACCGCAGGGATTTGATACATGACGATGGCCTCCGAGAAAAGCAGATTATTGCCGCTGGTAAGGTTATCAGACTTCTTTGCGCTCCGGCCAGAAATTCAGATGAGTTGGTAGAGCAGCATCAAGGGGGGAGGTTTCCCCATAACACACCAAGTATGATAGCAGCAACTGCAATACTGCACCAAGCAAAGCCATAGTTGTTATCTGTGGGATGTCATTATTTATGCACAAATTGTTATCCAAAAGTTTGTATCTCACTTCATTCGAAATGAAGGCAGAGAGTTTCGCTTTAGTTCTTCACTCAATTGAAGGTGTATTAAAACTGAAAATGTAACACCAAAATTGCAAATTTAAGAAGTAACCCTATGTTGATTGGTTTTTCTTTTGACAATCGTTGTTTCTAAACAGATTGGACATGGATAATATTGACCTATGTTCAAAAAATGTCGTAAACATAAGCTCTAATTACTTTGCTTGCTTGAACTTGTACAAGTAAATGAACAGGTATATTTCTAGTTCATACAAAAACTTAAAGTCCTCTGACATGTACGCAATTTTAAGTCGAATCGAATTATCATCAACCCGATTAATTTGGAGTCTGGTTTGATTTGTTAAGATAACGAATTTGGACCAAATCACACCTAAGAAACACAAAATCTAAGACAATGGTAACACTGATTCAAAAAACAAGGCTGACATATAGGGCATTCTTCCACATCAAAGCCATAAGACTAGCTCAACTCCTTACAAACTCCTCAAGGCCACAAACAAAACCCACTTCTTATTATAGTAAACAACACTCACTTTAAAATCCCCACAACTCCTTTCAATCACACTTCACGCTATCAAACTCCACACAAACCCTAAATCCCAATTTTCCACGCGCAATCTCTTGTGAAAAAGCTTGAAAAATCCCATTTTGTCACTATAATGGCTGTATCAAGAAGACTGCTTTTGCTTTGCCTAGGGACGCTCTTGGCCGGTGTGTTCTTGGTCAAGGTGGCTGAGGCTCATGAGAACCATGGCGACTGCCACAGTGACCCGAATAATGGGGACCAATGCCGGGAGGATGAGACTGATGCAGTCGGGGATGATGATGTGGATGACACATACAAGATTGTGAACAAGGTTGCGGTGACTTTTTCAGCCAGAACCGGCGAAGTTGAGCCAGGTGCAGACGAAGTACCAGGACGCAGATGACACTGAAGACAATGAATCGAGTCATGTCATTGTAATGGGACACTGATATAATCTAGCTAGCTAGCTAGCTAGGGTTACAGCAGTGCTCTGCAGGTTATCTTTTTCGCATTTGTTTCATTTCTTTCGTATATTTCTTGTTTTAGC